CTCTACTTGATCTTTACTCCATAAGTTACATGTGGTACATGATGATCGCTGTCTGTACCGTATTGTTTGTCGGCCTAATTGTGACCTACCTCTCTCATCCTCTGAAGCCACATGACGTTGATCCCAGGTTAGTAATCAGGATAAACGACATCAGCTGTTATTGTTTGCCAAAGCGATTGGAAAAATGGTTTCGTTGCTGCTTCAAAAATACTGTCCATGACACCGATATGGTATGTTAAAAGTTTTGTTTTCGACAAACATAATTAAAGTATTGTAGAAAGCTGATGAGATGGAGTTGTCAAATGAATCATCAACCAAAAAAATGCTTCCTACGCTCGATGATGAAGCAAAAACACCGTTAAAGTCTGACATCGTAACGCACAATGCAATCATCGTTGACCAGTGAACAACACGAAATTAAGTTGCTCATAACTGAATCAACCCCTCGTTTTGAAAAGTGTCTGTTTTTATTATTAGTAGTTCGTTAAAGGGACAACTGTTCTGTTTTCAATAGAGAAAGTTTCATCCAGATTATAGTGAAATTCGACTGGTTTCCTTCAGATAGTGATATTTCCAAAATCAGTTAAAGTTGTTCACTATAGTATTACATATCTTGGTATCTTGCTGTAAGCATCATACGTGGATCATAAGAAACTTCAACGTAACAGAATATCTAAAGGGTGGCCCCAGAAGTTATGAAACGATTTTAAAGATTCATTGTTCTCGTATTCAACAAAAACAAAGTCTTTGAAGTTTTGGCAAATTACTGTACACATGAAGTACTATTTAACTAAAAAGTTTAACGCTTATAGTTTTTACTATGGATAAGAAATTGTAATAACGCTATGATGTACTATTGTTTAAATTTTCTTATCATCTCAATTGCTGTTCCAGAAACGATACAACTATCGAAAATAAACAGAAGCACAAAACAGATTGCCAACGTTCCCGTGTTTGATTACTACCTTGATCGATTGCCAATTAACTTTAATCATGCAGATATTTTATCTATTATTCGTTGACATAAAGAAACACTAAATTGGCTTCATTCTTTTTCAAGATCTTCTTTCAATTGTTCAATATTACTGTATTCCCGACCTCCTAATTTCTCTTTTAGTGTATTTCAAACATTTTCTATAGGCTAAAAGTCGACTAGTTTTGCTACACAATTTATTCTTCAATGTAATTAATAGAGACTTGCTTAACACCATCCAAAAACACGTCTTATTGATGATCTCGATCAACTTGAAAAATAACATTTTGTAAATTTTTTAATTCTTTAGCCGCTTTTTGTGCTACAATAGTTCGAATGAGTCTTGCATATCCGTCATCAGTAAAGCATATTTTCTTACGACTGTTCCTACGTTGCAGTCTAATGAGCTCTAACCATTCATCGATAAAAACGGGATATTGTTGAATATTTTCTATATTGAATTCTGTCAATATACATTATAAGAAAATTGGAAAAAATAGTACTTGATAATGTTGTTACAGGTTCTCATCTATATTAAGAACTAAAGACCTCAAATTTTACAGTTATGCAGTACTGAGTACGTAAAGTGATCTATCGCAATTCCAAAGACTTTTCTTTTATTGAATAAGAGAACGATGAATTTTAAAATCGTTTCATAGCTTTTGGGACACGTTATATGTTAATATTCATTCTGAAATACCTCACAAATCAGAAGCCAATGAAATATTCGTATCAGAAATATCTAATGTTTTATTCGCATGATCTATGAACTAATAATAATATATCTTTTTTTTATAAAACTAGTGAGAGAAAAAGTCTAAGATAGGCTTTTGGTGAATCAATACGTGCTCTCTCAAAACTGAAAAGAACAAAATCATGATTTCATTCAGCATTATTGTTTGTCTTACACATAGCCCGAAATCGACCAACTTATTACTACTCGACTCAAGGTAGATTCTGCATATCAGTTGAGTTTTTGATCGATAATGGCCAAATGTTCGTGTGCCATCATCATTGCTGTAAAAAGAAACAGTTATGTAAATGAATGTTGAAAGTCTAAACAAATGGTTCAATAATTATGTCCTGATCAATTTTTAGATTGGATTGTCTCATTCTGTAATATAGACAAGTAATTAGAGTGTGACTAGATGACGTGAAGTGTAGGTACGGATGTGGGTATGAATGTACGTAAGCGTACCGATGTGACTGCGAAGTAGACTGACTGGTCTCTACATCCACACCCCTGATTTTCAGTATCAATAAACACGTTTGTCTTGTCTTCGATATCGTAGACCATAAATGGAAACGTAAATGACTCAATATTGTGCTCTTTTTGAGTCTAAAAAGATTAGAAGAGTATGCAACAGACCTTGGGACTTTTACATTGTTCTTGAAATGCTCATTAGAAAGCAAAAGAAATTTGGTTATAATTAAAGACAATTGACTTGAACAGTTATCGTTCTTTATTCTGTTTAATGCCAATGCAACACTTCCTTCTAATTTAGAACAAATTAAAATTTGAATTTGAATACAGCATATTTCAATAGGTGTATTTTTGGTATTTTTCTATTGATTTTTGATTATTTTCCGAATCTCAAAATTGTATGGCGAATTCCATTGCCTCATCAAACATCAATGTTGACTTAGCACAAATTATTTTTCTCTTTGATCTTCAAACTCTAGTATAATATTCTATAGCAACGCATTCGTCTTGTCTCTTCAATTCGAGTCTCTGTAATTTCGCCAATAAATAAAATACTTTTATATTACCGTATTCGCTAATTGGCGAACTTCCTCACGAAATTCGCCAAATTGGCAAATCACTAATGTGACATTCGCCAATTTGGCGAATGTCCTGGTGTGGCATTCACCAATTGTAATCATTGAAGGTAGGACTTAAGTTTAGTTTGGTGAGGGTATGAGCGTGGGGCAGATGTGGATGTGCGTGCGGGTGTTTGTGCAGGTGTACATCTTGTTCTTCCACTGACACACATCCACACCCGAGATATTTATGATATAAAAAAGGAATTGTGCACAGAGGTGGTTATGTTCTGGTTCCACGCTATGCGTCCAAAACAACGAAACGCACATATTGACTAACAATGGAGGTGTGTGTGATGTAACTCAAGGAGATAGGATATATTCGGGTCAAATTAAAAGTCTCACTGCCAAACTAACAAATTAAAAATATGACGTGCTTATGGCTTGCCTGGACCGAGATATTCGAATTTCAAGATATGTGAAATTTAGGTATAAAAAATGAATCAGGAAAGATTTTCTCCACTATTGTAAGGACAAAACATAGTGTTGTTTGGGCCGACTAGGGGGCTTGGAGGGGTCCACTTTCCTATGGCCCGAGCAACACCATGTTTTGTCCTTATAAGAGTAGAGTGCATTTTTTTGGTGGCTGATAGGAAACGCTGTTTTCTATGAGCTACAGAAAAAATCCACTCTAGTATTATAAGGACGGGACATATTGTTCTTCGGGCCAATCTGGAGTTTATTAAGAATGCTCTTTCATTTGGCCCAAACAACACCATGTTTTGTCCTTCAAATACTAGAGTGGATTTTTTCTGTAGCTCATAGAAAACAGCGTTTCCTATCAGCCACCAAAAAAATGCACTCTACTATTATAAGGACAAAACATGGTGTTGCTCGAGCCATATGAAAGAGGACCCCTCCAAATCCCCTAGTTGGCCGGAACGACACTATGTTTTGTCCTTACAATAGTGGAGAAAATCTTTCCTGATTCATTTTTATACCTAAATTTCACATATCTTGAAATTCGAATTTCTCGGTCCAGGCAAGCCATAAGCACGTCATATTTTTAATTTGTTAGTTTGACAGTGAGACCTTTAATTTGACCCGAATATGTCCTATCTCCTTGAGTTACATCACACACACCTCCATTGTAAGTAGAACAGAAAAAATTTATTTACTTTTTATTGATATACTATTACACCTGAACTAATTCAGTTTTTGTAGTAAGAATATCAAGTATTATACTTGTATTACAATTCAACTCATTCATATTGGCGAAGTTACTAGTGTGACATTCGCCAATGAATAAAATATTTTCGTATTACTGTGCTCACCGATTGGCGAATTACTAGTGGATAATCGCCAATTGGCGAAATGAGAAATTGGCGATCAGATTTTACCCCCTTCAATTCTTTTCCTTATGTTAGAGATGGTATATGCCAGTGTAATATATTTTTTAATAATAATGCAGAAAAAGCATTGATAGCCAAAAAGAAAGCACAGTCAAGAAAATCATAGACGATGATATTTGTATTACTTATCAAGCTCAATGAAAGTTTTTATCACCGAGAAAATTTTAATTGATTGAGCATCTCATAAATTTATTTAACATACCAATTTTACTATGTAAATGTCAACTTAAAATTTAAATAATATTTCGTAGCAAACAAATAGTTATCCTTCTTTTTAGAAAAATAAATACAATACAATGGAAAGGCTTAGATATTTAATGTTTTTTGACAAACACAATAAGAGAATTAGCAATCTTCCCATGAAAAGGAATAGAATTCTTTTGTATTAATCTCGCACATAAGCACTTCAAGCTATGTTTTGTTACAGTTTTAAGAAATTGTTTAATATTTAAATTAGTTGCAACGTCGATGGAGGTTTCCCCTAAAGCATTGACATAATCTAGATGAGCACCAGCATCACAGAGATATTGGATTATAGTATCATCAACTATAGTTGAGGTAGAAGCAAATATATGAAGAGGTGTGTTTCGAACAGCGTCTATTGCATTCACATCAGCACCATATTGTAAAAGTATACGAACTGTATGTAAACATGGATATCTATAATTATAGATCACTTTTCACAACTAAGTAATTTAATATAGAAAACATACTTGCAAATGAAATCAATGAAATAGTCATTGGCAGACGTTTGGTTACTTAGACTTAAATGTAGTAGAGAAGATCCACAGGTTTGAGTCACATATTGACGTTGAGCAATGCTGCGAATATGTCGATAAAATATTTTATGATCATCATGTGAAATCATTGATTTTAACAGAGCCTAAAAAAGAAAATTTCGATAGACAAAGTAATAAAATTTTTGCTAAACATTTCAATACTTGACTAAAAATAGTTATTAAGAAGAGTAAAGTATGTAAATTATAATCAAAGTCCTTCTTATTATGCTCTAACTCGTCAACTATTACTGTTATTATTGTCTGCCAAGCCACAATCGATATCCATAGTGATTTACGTATCATGTCACTAAAAATCGATGCCCATTGACGCAAATCATTGATATCAATAGATAATGAGTACTGCCGACGTAAGCTAAGTTCATATAACCAAAAATTAACTCCTCGATGATGCTGTGCACTATCAGCTAGAAGGGCACCACGAAATCGAAGAGAACGACAATATCTTACATTAGTAGGTCCAAGCAAACGTTCACGTACGAGTAACGCTTCTGTGTACATATGATCATCATTTAATCGAATTTTTTTTAGTTCATCAATTGTTTGACATTCTTGTCGATTATCAAGTACTTCAACAGTTGATAATTGTCGAACTTTAGGAAGATTATATGTAGACCGAAGTTCAAGTGCTCGATAGAAGTATTCAAACGACTTTTTAAGATCACAAATGCCATGTTCACGGCAAGCAAAAGCACTGCCAATTAATTCTTGCGCTTCGATTTGTTCAAGCAATGAACATTGTGGAGAAATAACATTGACAAGACTAATTTGTCTTTTTTCTGCTGCTAATAATAATGGAGACATATGATCATAATTTGTTTGAAAATTTCGAGCACCATGCTTTAGTAAAAATTGAACTAGTTCAAGTGATTTACGACCTACAGCAATGTAAAGGGATGAACGTCCATCATTTGTCGTTTCATTCACATCACAACCTAATTCATCCACTAGATAAGTTGTCATTTGTAAATCTTCATTGTAAACACTTGCCATAAGATTCGTTTCGTTATGTATTTTGGTAATACGAGTATCAGCACCGTTCTCATTCAAATAATGAGCAATATTAATATTACCATTGCAACAAGCACAACGAAATGCTGTTGAATTCGTTTTAGTTTTGTGATTAATTCGAGCCCCATGTTCGACAAGTAATTTCACGATTTTAAAATTATCGATGGCAGCTGCTGCCCATAAAACAGTCACATTTTCATACATTAATAAACTTTGATCCTTTTCAATGAGTTGTATATCATTTAGCACTTCGAGATCGAGTTCAGAATAATTAAGTAATACTTTTATGATATCTTCGAACTTATTTAAACAAGCAATCATAAGTAAAGTACATTTTTGTTTGTTCGGTTCATCATATATTCGATTCAAGTAGATTTCAGGATTGTTTATTGTTGACAAATGACTTTTCAATATTTTGACGTCTCCTTGACGAACAGCTGATAATAGCAAATTACTCACTTCATCCTTGAAGTCATCAGTGAATTTCATCATAATTGTAAAAGCATAGAAATGAAAATAATGTTTTACCCAGTGTTTATTTATTCACACGTGGAAGTTGTATTTCTTGTACTTTTCTTCTGTTCTTCTGTTTCCTTGCGCCATGTAAAATGAATCATAGAGTACACAGTAGGTAAAAAGAAAACATTTTAGTCAAACAGAACAACAAAAAACTCTTAGTGTCAGATTTTTTCTTTCTCCAACGTATTCGATAATCAAATATTTCGTGGACACCAAAACGGGTATGATTAGTTTACAAAATATCTATACATTAATACAAATTAATTTGTCACCTGGGATCAAGCATGATCCATTTGATTCTTTGACAACATTAACGATAAATATGCATGGATTTTTACCTAATACCTAATTAAAATGATCTAGTATGTGAAATGTTTGATGATGAAGAATAATTTAAAATGTAATTCCTATTGTTTTGGAAAAACTATAAGATAGTTCAATTCATTCTATAATCAATACCGTTTTGTTCATTAAAGAGCTCAGTTTTATGTGTTCAAAATCATGAGGTAACCTTAGGTTGTCTAATTTTAGTTATAAAATAAATGAAGATTTTCAAAGGTACGTGGGAAGAAAGTCACATTGTATGTAAGAGATATTTTGACTTTCTCAACTTTTTAGAAGCTGAAATTTTGCATAATATATATATAGACAGAAAATTTCACTCTACACCATTTGAATACATACCAGTTCCTACAAAGAATCGACTTGTGGAAGACATAGAAAGAAAGTATCAAAGTAGTGATGCTTTTTTGCTCGTGTCAAATCGATTGTTTTTAGTATCTATATGAAACATCCGTTATTAAAGCTTCCTGCAAGACGAACCTTGTAACGAAATTATGCGACAGTATCAGTTACAAAAATTAAATTTAAAATGATGAATATCACGCACTACTAAATACCTAACTTGGAAATATTGGAACACTAATCAAAAATGAAAATGAAAAGAATGGCTATCAGACACGGAACACAAATCGTTTTGACGAAGAAACCCTAAAAACACACGGCAATAAGCATTCACCTATTTTAAATTATTTTATGTTCGTGTGAAATGCTCAGCAAGTCATATTATTTTACGATGCTTCTCGCATATCGAAATCCGCTTCAGTTTTGAAAATAAGAACAAGTGTATTTTCTTGTTGAAGACGTCAGCTGACTATGAATTACTGAGTACCAGAAATTAAGAGGACATGTTTGAGTTTGAATTTGAGCCTTACTCTCACCCGACAGCTCTGAAATGAGTAAAAATCTATACTTATTTTTCTTTCTTTTTTATACACTACTTTCCATCATTCATCGCAGTCGCTATATTAACTGGTAATTCCCTTAGGACCTTGTTTATTGAATTAACTGAATGGAAAAGTTTTCAGCACTAGTGAATGAAAGTGGAACGATGATCAAATATATTAGCTTTGCTATAAGAGATTTGATACACTACTTTTTGGATTTCGACTTTGTAATGAAATATAATGATGTATTGAAGTTCAAGTAGCTATTAAGTCCGATTTACTTCATTTTGCATTTCGCTCAATCTCCTTCATAAATACAGAAAAAAAATAAGAAGGGTTATCTGGATGCATTTATCATTGAATTTAATTGATCGATCGGCATCAGCATCATTGAGTCGAATTTACAGATTGTCTGAATTGACAAAGAAAGGCCTAATTTGTGCTAAAAATTGTGGATGTGAGTGTGGTTGTCAGTATTTTCTCTCCACATGCACATTCCTAAATAATTATACATTAGATACTTCACCCATAACTTTACAGCAGCACGAAAAATTATACGATTTTTATCATTCTACTCAATCATTTACCTTCCATTTACTGTTCGAAAACTTCCGTGTATCGCGTCAAATAAGAAAAAAAATAAGAAAAAATAGACATACACCTCATTGAATAATTCAAGGCTGCAACAAAAAGATGCTTTTTCTCGTTTCTGTCTTTGAATATAGTTTCAGGAATGTCATAGAGTTTGCATATCTTTCAAGATATCTTTAGATGAATTTTTTTTTCTTTTTTTACTTTCTGGGTCTACACATCAAACGTTTATAACTTGCTTTACGATGATTTCAAGATCGAATTGATGGCACTCAACTTTCTAATAAATCAGACAACGCATATCATCTGTTTACATATAGTTATCGAAAAAGGCAAATTTTTTGAACCCTGTTTTGTTTTTCAAGATTTTAAATAATTAAAATAATAAGAGCATAAATAATTAATCGTAACGACATCTTTGAACAAGGAAAACCAAGCATTAAAACTGCGAGAACAACTGATAACAAATTATGAATCACATAAATTATCAAACAATCATCCGTAATATTTTTTGTTTTAGACACATATGAATAACCAAAATACTGTGTGCTCTTATACGTTAATAAAAACAAAGTAGAATTTTTTATTTTTGACATGCCCATTCAAAGTTTATATTTTTTGTCTCAATGATCTCAAGAATAGAAATTCAGAAGATGTGTGTTCCAATGTAAAAATAAAACTTCAAGATAAAACGAATCAGATTGAACTGAAAGAGTGGTCAGTGTGTCATCAATTCAAATCCTCTCTTTAGTTACATATACTTGCACACCCATGCGATCGATGAATATCATTGTGTACGTGTACATAAGAGAAAAAGTATATTTTAATGATAATAGCAATTTTATTTTATTTTGTTCTAAAAGATTGATTCATGCTCTTAGATTAGTATTGACTACAGTATTTTTCATAGCGTAATTTTAAGAAAATCTTCTCCTCTTCTTTTATATATTTATACCTATTTATCAACAAAACAAACCATAATTAAACCGATGTCTCCTAAAATAAAAAAAATTAGGAGAGAGACAGGTACCCAATAAAATATAGAATATTAAATAGAAACAGTCAAAAACAGTTGAATTCTTATAGATGAAATTGAGAACTCGAAAAAATTAGATTTTTATTGTTCTTCATAGAAAATTTTGAAATTAATTATAATAAGAATGTAAAATATTTGTAGGTGTATCAAAATTGACGATCATTCCTCGATCCAATACAAGAATACGATCATATTCTGCCAATGTATCTAGTCGATGAGTAATTGTAAGAATAGTTCGATCTTCAAATTTATTTTTAAGTACTTTTTGAATCAGATCATCTGTTTTCGGATCAACATTAGCTGTTGCTTCATCAATCAATAGGATTTTACTTTTTTTCAGTATGGCTCGTGCAATGCATACTAATTGACATTGTCCAACACTCAAGGTTTTGCCAGATTCACCAATAAGCATTAGAAGACCTGCTGAATGATTTTTTACAAACTGTTTAAGTTGAGCATCTTCAAGTGCCATCCAACATTGTTCATCAGAATAATGATCGAATGGATCAAGGTTGTATCGAAGGGTACCACTGAATAATATAGGTTGTTGCGGAATAACACTGAGATGAGATCGAAGATGGCTAAGTGTAATACGGCTTATATCAACATCATCAATGAAAATTTCACCATTAACACATGATCGATTAACAAAGCGAAGAATACCTTTGAAGAGTGATGATTTTCCAGCACCTATACACATGAAAGATTTGAAATTCAAAAAACCTATAATCTCGGCATTAATACGTACCAGTTCGACCAATAATGCCAATCTTCTGACAAGACTCTATACTCAAGTTGATATTTTTAATTGCATATTCTAGGTTAAATTGATGGCGTAATGAATAATTTCTAATTTTAAGTTTTCCATGAATTGGCCATTTTGATGAAGTTTCTACAAGACCGTTGTGACCGCCGTGATCGTCCTCACGTGGTAAATGTGAATACTCATCGATGCGTTCGCCACTTATCATCATTGTATCGGCTTCAGTCAGTTTCCGCATAGACCATTGAAAATATATTGATACATGCATTGCATACAATAAGCTGAGTGCAGATACCGACGATTTTGCATTGTCGTGAATATATACTGCTTGAATAGAAATGATTAATAATATGACTACGCAAATAGTGCTAATTATTAATGCAAACCATTGTGATGCAGCATGTACGATGAGATATACAGATGTATGCACATCAATTCTATCAGCCATTAATTGAATAAAACTGTTTTCAGCTTGAAATGAACGAATTGTTGATAGACCATTTAGGGATGATGAAAAGAGTGCATACACAGGACTGCGAGTAACACTTTCAAGTCTTTTAAGTCGACGTGAACATTTTTGACAAAAGTAAATTATTAACCAAATAACTGGTACTAATAAAATAAGTGCCAAGATAAGATAGGGATTAATAAAACACATAATGAACATCGAACCAATTGCTATTAATAGTCCTTCCACACCTTCCAACCACGTTATCGGAATTGAATCATCAATAACATATTGATCTTGGCTTGCTCGGTTCAGAATTCTACCACTGGGATTAGTTTCAAAAAACAGTATTGATGTATATAAAAGTCCTCTTAACATATTATTGTGTAAATTATTTGAACCACGTAACATAACATTAAAAGCATAGAGCTTGCGAACGATATCTACGATTACTGTGGCAACTATCAAACTAAAAAATATATAAGCAGATTTCAATGAGACTTGCTGACCTGCACCAGATTGTTTCAAACAAATGCTAAGCCAATAATATGCACATTCACTTAATGCTTCACCCAATAAGAGTAAAACAATAAGTAAACAGAAGCCAATTCTACCAAATGGTGGTGCAGTAAACAAGCGATACCAAATAGACCATCTGGTATCATCATCTAGTAGTTTTTCATCAGTTACAATCGAATGATGGCGATCCACTGATCTACTATCATCAATCAGACTGGCTAATGTTGAATTTTCATTTTCTTTTGTGTAATTTTCTTTAGTAATATTTCTATTCAAGTAGCCATGTTTATCAATATGACCATTGGCTAGAAATATTATTTGATGTGATTCACTAAGAAATTGAGTTTGATGAGTAGCTAATAAACGAGTTTTATTTTTTAATAATCCAAACGGACCAATACATCGATCATAGATTTTTTTAGCTACTTTATGATCAACAGAAGATAATATATCATCAAGCAGATAAATATCTGCATCAGCATACAAAGCACGAGCTAATGACACTCTCGCCTTTTGTCCACCGCTTAGATTAAATCCATTTTCTTCAATCATCATAAGATCACCACTAGGCCCAAATAAACTAATATCAACATCAAGACAACAAGCATGTATTACATTTCTATATCGTTGCTGATCGAATGGTCGATTTAAAAGAATATTGTTGCGAAATGTATCTTCAACTATCCATGGCTTTTGAGCAGCATAAGCGAATGAACTATTATTTGTATTTAATTGACCATTGGTAAGATTCATTTCACCGAGAATAGCAGCCAATAAGGATGATTTACCAGAGCCTACTGGTCCAACAATTCCGACAAATGTGCCTTGTTCGATATTCAAATCAGATAATGATAGACAAGGCATCTCATTACGCCACGAAAAACATGCATTAGAAATCATGATATTTCCCTTTTTTTGTTCATTGATTAACGATGTTGATAATACAGAATGATCATTTTGTTTCATGATCGAACGCATAAATGAATCTATTCTTCTTGATGCAGATTTGGCCACATTTAATTTCTCAAATGACATTGGTAGAAAATACATAACATTCATACGCAGTAAAGCAAATAATGAAAGGGCTGGAAAAGTATTCTCTACAGTTAATGGATAACCTAAAAGCCAAGCACTGCCAAATGTGGTGAGTGCCAAGAGTAATGTTGAAAGAAAAAATAGAGCCATATTGTACGCACGAAAACATGACGTACATCGAATATTTGCTAATTCATGTTCTCGCATTTCAATTATACGATCTTCCAATGGTTTTTCCCAGTTATACATTTTAATGAAATGACATTCATAAATGATTTCACTAAAACCTTGCAGACGTTTATCGCTACACACAGCTGTTATTTCATAATATTGACTAATTTTTTTACTGAAATATAATTGCATAAGAACAAATAAAGGAAATAAAGCATAACCACATAATGCTGGTATAGGTTGCATAATCCAACAAAGTAAACCAAATATAATGATAGTCTCGAGAAGTCCTTCAAATAGATAGGCCAAATATGTGCACAATTCTTCAAGCTTGTATGCATCTTTAGTGATCAAGTTAATAATTTGACCTGTGTTCATACTTTCCCATAATGCTAGTTTTAGAGACAATGCACGTTGGAAAATAATAATAGTAAGTGCATTCCTAATTCGCATGCCAATACGAGCCAAACGAAAAAAATTTTGTCGATGCATGAGCGTTTGTATAATGACCAAAATAACCAATAGTGTTATGTATAAATAGCTGACTATATTTGACCTTTGTTTATTCATAATATGCAAGAGAATTTGACGAAAAAGTAATGGTTGAGCAATACTTGTTATCAAATACGGAATTATGAATAGACTAGCAAAAATGTAATCTTTTCCAAATTCTTTACAAACAATATTCCACGTTGTTGTTGATGACCAGTCATACGAAGATAATCTATCTAATAATACAGAAGCTTTGTCAACCTGAGGTATATCATCAAGATCATCTACTGTAAGTTGTCGTTTACAGCTTGCATTAAGAATCGGATTCATCCAACACCAAAATAGTACATTGAAAAATCGAATCCAAGACGATTCTGCCCATTCAAGACGAGATGAATGATGTTGATTATGATTATCAGCAGAATATGAAACGTGTTTATTATTAAGCAAGGTTTTTCTTTCTTCATCTTCTTGCATCTCATTTATCTTCTCCATCGAAATGAGTATGATTTTTGATTATCACGTGCTTATTGAGAGTATTCATCCGAAACAAATAAAAATTATCATGGCTGCATGTATGCTTTGTTTATTAGTGAGCACGTAAAATTATAAATAACGGCAAACATTGCATGCAATAATAACTCAACCAGATAAAAAGTATCGATTCAGTAGTAAACGGTAAAGCGAAAATGGATTGACACCAAAAATAATCGAGCAATGCATAAAACAAAAGAACGAAAGCTTTTATAATAATAGCTTCAATTCAGACGAATAAATGAAATCAGTACAAAAAGAATGAAAGACATTATTCGCAAGCTGCAAATCATTATAAATGAACATAAGAATTACTATCTCTTTTCAAAATTAAAATTGTGAAATCAGCAG